CATATATTCTGTGTTTTATGAAGAACTTTTATGTATTTTATTTGACACTTAATTAAACATGTAAATTATAGACTTAGCTGTTCTTTGGTCGTTCTTAATGGCTCGTTTCGCATATTTAGGAGGGGAAATTAAGAACCATTATTATTATTTAGTTTGAATTAAGATTGAATATAAAGATTAACTCACATTACACAAACTAACATTTGTATATGATTTAGTTAGATTAGTGACGTATTTAGTTTTGTTCAGTGACAGATTTAAGGCACATTTGTTGCTCATTCACCGAGTGATGCCTTAATGGAGATTTTTATGAAGAAATCTGTGAATTTAGTGTCAGTGATGGGGCTTGAAGATAAGCCTGGTGAAGAGGCGGCTCATATTAGTACCGCAAATGGTTCTTAATTGGGTATTTTGTACAGTTATTAGTATATAAGAGTACAAAGTTTTTAGTTATAGAGATTCATAAAGACCTAGTATTACATATTTCAGAAATACCAAAGAGAGAGAGAGAGAGAGAAAGACAAAAAAGAGCGAGATAAGAAAAAATCAAAAATCGAAATTTTAATGTATTAATTCAGTACTATTAACCTCGTTTACTATGTGGTCTGATGACGGTCTCAAAACGGATTATGAAAGAAGAAGAAAAGGAGAGACTAAAATTATTGCGTGCGAAGAGATGAGAGAGATGTGACGACTAAATCTGGCGAATAGCAACGAGAGTATACTCAACATATGCAGAGAACAGCCTTCCAAACTGTTATACGAAGAGATTCACGAAGATTGAGATCCCATTGCGCGACAAGGAGGGAATCGGAATAACGTATGACATGTGACCGTTGGCCAAACGGTCACTCGCTTGGTTACGATTACAACAAATATTTTTTTGAAGACAAAGCGATTCACGACCCATCAATCACGGAATCAGTATCAATATCTAAAGCAATGTTACTATTGAAGTTTTTCTAGCAAACGCTAAATGGCATCAATCAGTTCGCCCTTATCTCAGAATGCTCTTGCTAATATGATATTCGAGAGACAGTTTCTGGAAGAAAATTGTGAACTATTGTATATATACAATGCTGAAAATCTCATATACATATTTAACACAATTCAAAATTGCAGGTCTCGCTGGCTAAGATCTGTCCTTGCCCCGTACCAGTTGGAGATGGAGGAGGAAGCTGCGAGAAAACATGATCCAATCATTATACTCAAAACCATAAAATAAACTAGGCAATTAAATGCAATCTGAAAATAATTTCAACAAATTTACAATGTCGAGAAAACATTCTTATCAGGCAAAGGGTAAGCCCAACTCACAAGTCAGTAAATAAAAACGAACATGAATGGTTATTTTGAAACTTCACCTTTTGTTTCTATTGTAGTAACGTGTATTTTATGGCAGTCTCGTTTTGTACACTTGTCAACATATAGTATGTTAACTATTTTTATCATTTCTACTAATTCCGGCTTGTTGTTGTTGGTGTGATCTCTTCGTCGCTTGCTGTCGTGGGCATTTTGTAAAGTTTTATCGCCACCAATAGTCGAGCAGTCTACCAAGCGACCAGTTTTTTTATCGCAGCCATTCGGTATTTATGGCTTTCGATTTTGTTTCGTATCTCACGAGCAGCTACTCGCTGTAGATATGAATATTTTATTGAACTATCTTGCGCACGTCTCCTACCTTCGCCACCAGTTGGCTCAGTGTGTGTCTCAGTTTTTGTGATTTTTGTTAATGTAATCGGTAATCAGTTCGTAATTTAGTCAAAAGTATTTCGTGGAATCGGAAAAAAACACACGTGAAAATAGTCATTCGAAGTGACAGACGACATTGTTTATGGGCTGGCAGCAGCAGGTCGTTTCAGGTGACACACATATATCTGTAGCGGGTTGTGTGTATGTATGTGTGTGTGCGTTGCAGTTGAGCGATAAACGCCTAAATTTCAATTTCATTATCTGCAGCTATAGCTTTAACACTCGCTGAAACCGCTCTGAAACACACACAAAACCAAAGCAACAACATTTAAAAGGCAATGATTTCGGCTGAGTCTTGATTAATTTGATGTACAATTTCATTTGCTAAGATTTATTGCGGCGTTTGTTGGCACTGTTTAAGATACATATGTAAATCCATTTTGTCAACTCTTTTGTTGCTGCCTTTGTTCGCCTTCTATTGTGGTCTATTGTATTGGGTTTTTAATTTCGTACTATATTTTAATTCAAATTGCTTTGCTTTAAGTTCCCAGCTTAACAGTTTACGCTTTTACATTTGTATGTTTATATGTATGTAGGTATCACTTATATTTGTTTGTGTTTAACTAAATTCCATCAAAAAAAGCTTAATTTTGATTTCTTTTATTTGCATTTTAAGCTGATTAATATTTTATTCAAAAAATACATATGTACAAGTATGTCTGTAAGTATGTGCGTGTATATGTCTGTATGTCTGGCCGTATTTATGCCGTTTAACTGAAAATTAACAAAGCTCAATGGGTTTTTGCTCTGCGCTTAGACTTCGAACAATACGTTCAACGAGTCGTTTTCATTTGTGATTTGTAATTTATTTTCTTGCCACTTATCGCCAACAAAGATCAGTTGCTAATAATGAATTTACAGCTGGCAGAGACAATGCTATTCATTATTGGTCCCGCACACAAAACAAATCGCCGAAAAGTGTGTTCAAATTTTCAAACACAATATACATATGTTTTTGTACAAGAACACACATTGAATATCAGTAAAACTCATATGTATAAATACATTTATATGTAAACATACACACATATACATATATATGTTTGTATGTACAAAAGCACATCGGTGCCATCTTATGGTGACTTGTTGAAAGCTTAATTGTTTGGGATTTATTTTATTGGTTGCTTAATATACGAACGCTCATTCCTTGAAAATTTCAATAATTATGAAGGGGTAATGAATGGCAGCGCATTCTATTGAAATCTATTTTAGTATTTGTCAGCGTTTTTCAGAAGCGATTTGTTTATTGATTTCAGTGAGTTTTCTGGGAGAAAGACTAAACTTTTGTCGGAGCTAGAGAGATGTACAACTTTCCTGTCACTTTGGGAGTGTAAATCACCTACCTCACTTTGTGAGTTTACTGGAACGACTGAACCAACCTGTGCTTCTGATGAGATTCATCACTATAAATAGTTTTATGTGAGCAACTTCCGATACGTCGTATAGGAATCCACGACCGATAGTTGCCATTCTTTTCTTGTATAGAACGCTACATTCGCATTGAAGATGTTTTACAGTCTCCTCCTCTTCTACCTCCTGACAGCTTCTACAATAGTCATTCTAAGGTACTGCTGGCATGTCTACCAATTGGACAGTGATCTGTAAGTACTTCTACCAGAGTTCTTTTGTCATTCCTTTTGAATTTTAATAGTCGGTTTGTGCAGCTCGTGTTTCATTCCTGCCACATTTGCCTGCTAGTTGAGCAAGTCAGTGTTTGACTCCACCGAGACTCAGCTAGATTTATAACATGTTTGCTGATTGAATGTTTACAAGTTGCCAGAGGCATAAAAATTCCCTCTTTTTCAGAGGCTAATTGTAGAGTGGTGCCTGTTCTGGCTAGTTCATCTGCTTCGCAGTTACCATTGATATAACTATGGCCTGGAACCCAATGCAGGTTTATCGTGAAGTAGGATGTTAGATTATAGATTAAGACATTCGTTCACCACCTTTGGTGAAACCATAGACTTCAGTAATTTCAAAGCCGCTTGGCTATCCGTATGTATAAATATGCTCCGTTTTGTGAGCACACTTTTTGTCAGAACAACAAGGTTTTTTTTGATTGCTGTGATCTCCGCTTGGAAGACACTGCAGCCGGTAACCGGTAACCGGACGGCGATGCTGGTATTTAATTTTGCTGAAAAGACACGACTTCACACTCTATTATCAAGTTTGGACCCATCAGTATAGATGCTAATTCCTACATTCCTGTAATGTATCGTTACTTTGAACAATAATTCACGCTGAATTTCGTGAAGATATTTTTTAGGAATAAAAAAAAATTTCCTCTAAAATTGTAGATGCCACATTTAATAATATATAAGTAAAAACTCGCGTTAAATAAAAAATAACAGCAACGACCTGCAGCGACACATAGCGGCTGAAGCTAGCACTAACACAATCCCAATTAGCACCACTACCAGTGCAATCCAGTAACCAGCCCCCATTACAACATCGAACGCAAGAGTCACAAGACAACAACAATGCCGCTGTGCTAGTAAAGCAACAAATCAACAGCTGGGGTGGACGCAACATGTTCAGCGCAACGAAAAGAATTTCAGGCAAAACAACGCGAACATGTTCGTAAACAATTCGAAATCGCTGCAGGGGCCAGGCAAATGGATGGAGCCCCAAGTTCGGCTGCTCCTGCAACATGTTGTGTTTGAGTTCGCTTTGCACTTGCGCACTATTCAAAAAATGCAGACGCTGTAAATGGGGACCTGAGCTGTTGCAAGTGGAGAATTTCTTCTGCAGTCGGCGCTGTAGAGCAGCGGCTGCATTCTACAGCTATTTTCTAGCAGCGCTGAACTAGACCAACTTTCGCTGCACGCTGGCGTTTAACCTCAGCGAAGGTTAGTGGCGCTGCAACAGCCGCTCCGTAAAGGGTGGTGTATAGCACCTCAGCTAGGCTGCACTGACGGTCAACGTCGCTGCTTGCGTCATGCACAACGGCAGCTTGACATCGGCTTGCGCTGCTGCTCTCCTACTCTCCACAAAATAATCCAATTAGTGTGGCTGGGTTCTATGAGCATCTTGTGGTGGTGGCATTGTTTGTAGATTCGGGTTTGCCTGTCAGCCTGCCCGGGATGACTCTGGCTTAGCTCTGGCTGTATGTGCAGGCTGTGTTTGCCTGGCATTGTTATTGTGGCACTAGTTCGCCGTATACCGACGATAAACGACGATGGCAGCGCTGTCGGCGTCTGGACTTCGGTGCTGTCGTGTCGATTTTATAGGAAATTTCTGCAAAACACAGTTTAGTGTAGACTCCCCGAGGTTTCGGTTGTATCGACAGTAGTTGTAGTGCGTGTGAGCGAGTCGCAAAGCCGTCGGTGTTTTGATTATTTGCTGCTGGATTGAAAGAAAAGATATTGTGCTTTTAGAAATCTTCTTGTTTGTTCGTTTTTTGGGCTGAGCCACAAATTTCGCTGGCTCTAGCGGTTTGCAAAAAGTGAATATAGAGAGGTGTGTACCGCCGGTTCGTTGTATGTGTGTGTGTGTGTGTACATGGCTTTGAGAAAAAATCACGTTTTGAAGCGGTCGATTAAACTGCGATTAAAGCGTGACACCGTTCGTGTTGTTTTGCGCTTTGTTGTTGGTGGTCTTATTATTCATTGTAGTTGTTGGTTTGGAGGTCAGTGAGCGCCAAACGTGTTATTCACGCGATGCAAAGGGACAATCGGGTGTGCAAAATCGATTGCGAATAAATATAAACAAAATAGAAAACGATAAAGCGATATTTTTGTTGTTTGTTGTGGCAAAGAGTGATAAGAACTTCCAATTAATAAAAGAAAACAATAATTAAATTGTTGTTGATTTGGCTAGCAAGTAGGTTGTATATGTATAGGCGTTTCTCAAATACAATATGGCAACACCAACATGTAGAAGTTGGAAAATATTCGCATACAGATATATATTTATATAGAAATTTTATTTTCGTCGCTATCTAAAGTCGCGTTTTACAATTAACTAAAATATTTAGCATTAAGATAATTAAAATTTATTGAAAAATTAAAATTATTATAAAAAAAATGTATTTATATTACGTTATGTTATGTTTACTTTAGACTCCAGCATCCAGTTTGTATCTCAGTATCAGCTGATTTGAGAAAGATTTTTGCGGTCTCCGCTATAATAACTAAATTGACCGTTATTTTAGAATAAAACTTAAATTTTACAACCCGAAAATCAAATTTTCGAATTTTATGCTATAAATTTTAAAGATTTAATAAAATGAAATGGCTGTAAGCTGATATGGAACTATAGAGTTTTTCAGAGAGTTATTCCCAATTTCATAGAAATATGTAAACAAATTCGAATTTGGACTTAAACTTATATTAGCAATATATTTTCTAATAACACGTAGAACATATATTTTTAATATTTTTAATTAATTCCGAAAAAGTAACTATATGGTGTAAGACTTGACATATTTTCAAATTAGTTCGGATCATATTCTTATTAGAAATTCAATATTGTTACCAATTGGAATTTAAGGTAGAATTAAGATTAGATAATCCTAACTTTATTTCAATAATTACTAAAGAATGTTGTCTTAACGTTTATATCATGTGATTTTCCAATTATTTTTAACACAGAAATTCAACTTGATTAACGCATAATAATCACATGTTGTAAACATTTGAATAAATGATGATTTTCATTGAGTTCAGAGATGACACAAAGGCATTAATATTGAAAATTAATTTCAATGGGAATATTAGAAATGGTACAGAATTCTTTCATATTGAAATTGTAGTACTTTAGAGTATTAAGCAGACTACTTTTTGGATACTCACTTATGAACTTCACAGTTAGGTACTTAGAAGCTCATGGCCTCTCTTAAAGAGTTCTTTTTTTTGAACGGACGTTATTTGTAATGTGCGATCACTGCCACATAAAAATAATAATGAGAGTCATATATAACTTTTCTTTTACATTTTATATAATAAAATACAAACAGACCAGTAAATTAACAAACCAATTTTGCTTGCAGATTATAATTAATCACTAAAACACAAATGATCTCAAAGAACTCAAAAAAGTGTTTGAATAACTCTACCTTAAACCTAAATCAAATCGTAGGCGTGAATATATAAATAAAGAAACATTTGAATTTTAAAAAGAAACGCAAAACATTCTCAACATGCCACATATAGCTGCCACAGGTGCAGCCCACTACAGCGCCACTTCAACAAAGCTGACACCTACTACACACAGGCGTTGGCTGACACTGCTCCTCCTAGGCTGCGTGGCCAGTTTATGCGGCAATACGGTGCAAGCCAGTCCGCTTTCGCCACGTGAAGATTTTCATGATATAACGGGCAATCCGAATATGAGGAACTCACTGCAAATGCCGAATCCGTCAGAGTCGCGTGGACAAACGAGACGTGTGGCATGCCGCCGCGCTTGTTGGGCCATGGTGAGTACAAAGATAAGCACTTTTTTATAATAAACAAAAGAGAAACAGAAAAATATGTGCATAAAAACAAAGCAAACGACTTTAAGGGCATATGCATGTATATTCACATGCACGTGTGCGTGTGTGTGTGTTTTGGCAACACATGTTTTCATGTAGTCGAGCGGAGCATTAAATAGAATTGATAGCAAATCCCTTTATGCGCCGCATTGATGGAATCCTATTCAATTTGTTATTTTTGTTTTTGTTTTACAATGGTTTTTTTTTTCCTTTTGATTTTGCGAATTTCCGCAATTACTTTGATGGATTTGTTGGATTATTTTCGGCGTTGTTGCACTCCAATACACAAGCGAATATGTGCATATAATGTACTTGTATGTGCCACAAAATGCCACATGCACACGCGCACATATGTTTGTTTGCAATAGATGCGGGTTGCTTGCCACAACGCTTGCCAAAGGGGTTGCTGGACACACAAACACATGCACACATGCCACATAAAGCCTGTGTGAAGCAAGCACCGACTCGTCAGGCCTTACATGTGAGTGACTAAGTATTTGCAACATAGCTTAACCCACATCCAGACAACAAAAAGTCCCCTCACTTATTCCTTCCTCCTTAACTCTGCATTTATATTCCTACGCGCTGCTTCGGAGAAAATGTTTTCATTTCGCATTTTCATGTTTTAATTTTGTACACGCTTAGAATTTTAAGCAGTTGGAAAAACAAATCAACTCGCCAACCCACTCGCCAAGTCGCTACCTTAACTCGCCTGTGTATTACGGTACATAGTTGTTATGCAGAACTCGGTCGTACGAAGTGCATAAGCGCTCACATACACTGACAGCACACACAGCATGGCTAAAGTCCATAGTCGCCCTCAGCCCATATCCGTAGGTCTCTAGCCCTCGTCTAACATATCAAGCAGCCTTCATTTCGTCTGCTCCCCTATGCTGTGCACTTCGGGGGAGGTTTCGCTGTAATTTGTGGACAGTTGCATTTCAAATACCTGCAGGGCAATCACATCAGGGCGCCTTCGACTAATGAAAATATACTGGCAAATACAATTGTATGTAGCATGTATGTATATTCGCATTTGATATGAATGAAGTTGTATTAGATGAGCTGTCCTGCCCATTTGCACACAGTTCAAATGTATTTGAGTTACAATTATTTCGGAAATATTATTTTAAAGCTTTGATTTGAAAGTTCTAGTATTACAAAGCATTTCATTAATTATTTGTCGTCGAAAGAATATAAATATTTTTATTTCTAATATTTTCATTTCTATTTTCTTTATTTTTCAAATATTCATTTACATTTAATTAATAAACAATTATTAAAATGGCTTCTATTTTAAATTAAACTTTATCTACAATATAAATTCAGTATTTATTAAAGACTTTAAATTTAAAAGGAAAATAGAAATGATTAATTTCTTAGTTGATGATACTTGAAGCTTTAAGACAACTTGAGTCGAAAGAATTTAATGTCGATCTTTGATAGAAAACATCTGTTAAGGCTTCGATCGGTGGTTAAAGACCTTATATTAGTTGAATATGATATTGGTCTATAAGACGCTTCATCATATTTTCTTTTAAATATCGTTTAAACCTTTTCTTAACCTTGGCGCAATATCAATTCTAGATTATTGAAAACATTTCCTCAAAAACTATGTTGGGTTGCTTCGAAAGGAATTGTTATATTCAAGAGGTGATATTCACTTAAGAATTAAATTTTTTTTATATTGAATGTAGTAGAAATATTTCCGAATAATTAATTATATAAGCGTACTTGTGAAAATGTTCTAACTTAGTGTAATCAGCCTCCAAAACTTGAAACGCGTTTTGTTCGAAAAGCTGTTTGCAGAGTTGGTGAGGAAATTTCTTCGAAACAGCTAGATAGATCTACTTGCAACACAAGTCCGTTTTAAATATATATTTCAGGCAATGATTGAAGGAATAATATTTTTAAGAACAATTTCGATTTTTTAACCACTCTGAAGTGTTAACTTTTTCATGAAAAACTAATTTTATTAAGCATATTATAATTTTTTTTTAAATTTTAAATAGTTCTTCCAACATTACCGCATTCATCTATTCTAATAATATTTTTTTGTTGTTTTTGGATTTGAGATAATTTTTAGCAGAAAAATTTTTACTTAACGAAATACACCTTTTTTCGGTATTCCGCCTGGAGATTAAGAAATTGAGGAAATCCAAAATTTTTCTTAGTGATTTGTCTATTATTAGAGTACAATAACTTCTGCAATTGTTAGTTTTTTTTTATTTATTTATTTATTAATTAAAATACCTCTTCACAACTCAAAACAACTCTGGCTCGTTAACGTTCATTAGTAGATAGGAAGATGGTATTTCAGATCATAAAGGCAATCAGCGAAAGTGGACGTGGTGCGTAGGGAAATTCTGGAATTCGTCATTGCCTTCGTTATTCTTTCTTAAGTTGTTACTGTGCTAAAAAATAGAAAACAACTATTTTGGCAAACTTCAAAACTCTCATCGTTGAAACGAAAAAGAACACCCCTCTAAAAAGTTCAGAATTTCTTTAGATATGTTAGAGGTTTAATATAAAAAATTATGTATGATAGTGAAAATTCACATTTATTTTACTGGTAATTGTCAAAATTTTCTTTAAAAAAAAAATATGTTTCTCATACCTCTAAGTGTCATCTGAAAACGTACCAGCGTTCTTTATTTACAAGTAATATACAGCAGTTTCTGAAATATTAAATAAATAAACTCATAAAATCGGAAAAACAGTGAAATTTTCAATTTGCATGGCTCAGAGGAAAAAAATTTCTCTTTTGGCAGAACTTCATTTTATGATAAGATTTATTCGAATTAGAAGTTGGCTATTTACTACAGATAAATGACCACTCTCTGGATAGAAGAGAAGCTGTCGTCAATATATACAATAAATTCTATTAAAAAAATGCTTTTTCTTATTAAATTCACTTCTTTGCCGGAATAATTGAAATGCTTCGAGTTATTTTCTTTATTTATTATAAACTAGAGGAAGACCCTAATATGCATAATCTACAAATTTGTATTTATATAATTTTTACATATATGCACATATGTGACATGAAAGCATAATGTTTTTATTTTTAACTTCTAAGTGACATTTGACCCAAATTGACCTGATGGATCGGCAAACAAATACTTACGCACATACTGTTATTCCTTTTTAAATGCTTTTGCAAACAATAACTGCCCTGAATTTGATTTTGAAAATATGCAGCAGCTGTGAATTTGCATTTCTAATTCGGACGCAAAGAGGCCAATCAAAAGTGAACAACGGCAAGCACAACTTTACGGAACAACTTATAAGTGCGCCCTGCATACACACAAACATATATGCATACATACATAACAACATATAAATGGTACAGAAACTGCTATATACATAGGTGCATATATGTGAGAGTGTATAAACAGTGGCATGTGCATATGTTGCAACATTAGAGGCAACTGCGAATCTCTCGAAACTATTACGCACACTTGGCACACAACTCGTATTTAGATTAAATTAAATTTTATAAAGTTGTGCAATTCACAAAAACTTTTTGTTGCACATTGCTGCTGGGAATGCTCGAAATGAAATTCAAATTTGAAAAGAGCAGCGCCGAAAAAAAACTGGGTAAACAGATGCATATGTGCTTGCAATGGAACTCTTATATGCACAAGGCATGCAACGGTGTTTATATGTAAGTGTGCACCAATATACATATGTGTGCGTGTGTGTGTGGCTTTGCTTTTTGACAATTTTGACAATTTCATTTTGTGCATTGCTGACAGCAGTTGTCAGGCACTGTAGCTGTTGTTGTTGTTGTTATTGCTGCAGCACAGTTGCATAACTGAAATGGGTTTGCAGTGCAACGAGGCAAGTTGTTGCCACCCGAACCGTATGCTTTCCGAGTTTATGGCCAAAATGTGCCAATTTCTGTGCACTTTGCATTCGCAAGCGTTCATTGCACCGACTGTGTTATCTGCTCGTATTTATATTTGCACAATTGTTACGTGGCAGTGCAAATGCGTTTGTGCGTATGTGTGAGTGTGCATTTATTGTGCAATTATTTGCATACTCGCAAAACAATATGCAAATTGATAAAACGGAAATGCAGCACTCAAACTCACTGCCACGTGAACAAACTCACACATATTCAAATATATCGCACACACATACACGCGCACCTGCATGCAGTTTATCCGAAGTAAACGCAAATATTTAGGGAAATGAACTGTTTCGTGTGTGGCAAAAGTAAAAGTGCTGTAAGGCTGTTGCAGGTGTGTTTGTGTATTTTGCTAAGCGAAAGTTAGCTTTCGAAATGTACCGTTACCTGGTCACTTGGCTGCTGAAAATATTTAAATGGAAAGAAAAGAGTGGCGAGTCGTTTGTTACCTAATTTAGCCAGCACTATTCATTATTGCCAAATTGAGATAGGTATACAGGGTGCGTCTGTATGTAAAATTTCAATAAATTCAACACTTACTAACCGATTGAATTGGTTAAAGCGGACACACCAATCTAGTGCAATTCTAATCATGATCACTGCTTGGATATGAAAAGCTGTCAGAGAAAGTTCGGCATTGTTTAAAAGATCTAAAAGGAATAGTTAGTGTTTAAAAGATATTTAGAATTTGTTTCGTTACAGAAATAACATTGAAGAGCCCAGGTCTATGGCACTTGGAATATGATCAATGATTTTCTTTCTGTAACTTAACCGAATTTCTTAAATGGAAAATCCATTAGAGCTCCTTAAATGCCAGTGCATAAATGCATAAATTTGCTTTTTGGGTCGGCGCTTGTCACAAACTCATGTTTGTATCGTAGTTTCAATCCGAACAAAATAGAACAGTTGAAAACATCCATCACCTACAATTCATATGTCTGCCCATAAATGCATGATAAAGCTCCTGATGGTCACTAACTTCAATAAGACTGTGGAATACCAAAATTGACACGTACCATTTGATCCATTT